ATCTATATATCATCCATCCATCTACATATCATCCACCCATCCATCTATACATCATCCATCCATCCATCTATATATCATCCATCCATCCTCGCATCCATCTATCCATCCATATATCCACCCATCCACCAATACTCCCTTCCCTTCACTTCCTGCCCCTCACTCCCCCTGCCCTTTCTTTCCTTTCTTTTTCTTCCTTTCCCCTTCTTCCCCCATCCCTCTATCTAAGCACCCAAACCACCATCCATTTATACACCCAATTAACCAACAAGCCTCCCCTGAGCCAGACACTATACTAGGTATTACAAATACAGAGACACATCAGATCATGGATCCTAGAGCACCCAGTTTGCTGGAAAGAGACTGAGATTTAACCAACTGACAATACATTTTACAGAGATTACCATCGCGTTCCCAGTGTGCGGGGAACCCAAGGGTCGGACATCTGCTGAGAGGAAGGAGGACTGAAATTACAAAGATGCGGAGGTGGTGAGTGCGCCAGAAAGACCAGGCTAGAGCATTCCAGATGTGGGGGCAGGAGAGACTCCGGCACAGTGCGTTAGGGAGGAAGCAGACCCGTGTCATCGCCTGATTTAAAACCCAGGACTGCTTTTAAAACTGACGTTTTATAACGCGTGCTTACGCCCAGGTGTAAGTAAATGCAGACATGTTGTCCGCGAAGTCCGGCAGTGTGGCTGGTCAAAAGAGCAGGGTGTCTCCTCTTTGACAGCCTCCTGCCCTGGAGGCACGCGTTCCCAGGCAAACAGCAGACCCAACTGCAATCTGCGGACAGAGTCAGGCCGCCACCTAGCGTTCGCAACGATAAATACAGGACTGAGCAGGCACTCCTAATTCTGACTAGCACGTTCCTGTCTCTCTGCGCCCCATCTTTCTCAAATATAAAATAAACAAACGAGGTACAAGCTCTCTAAGGGCCACTATCAGCTCTGAAGCATGATGCCAGGCTAGGGCACCCCAGATGTGAGAAAGAAAGCACACCTTCACTTAGATCTCCACCTGAAAACGATCGTACACACACTGCCCTGCATTTATAAATCACGCTGCTAACGCTGGGAGCCTGTATTTCCCGCCCGGGGGGCTAACTCCATTTGTCTGAACATAATGTCGATGGTGGAATTACGGGATGTGAAATCAGATCAGGCTTTGTTAAAAGCACGCGCGCACTGATACTTCAGAATGCGTGAAAATGCCAGAATGGGGTTATTTCAAGGGCCCTCGCACAATCGCTACCACTTGGAACACAGGGTCGGTCCCAAAGAAGCCAGGGACTCTTTGCAGTCAAAAACATACCAAGATCCTTGACCAAATGTTCCCATTCTTGGCCAGTAACACACGTTCATTTTCACCCTCTTACTTGCCTCTTACTCTGCATGCCACTTCGTAAGCAAGGCCACCAATCTCTTGCCGATTGGATGGAGGATATGAGGATGTCGCCAGAAGGAAAGCAGCCAACGGGAAAGAACGAGATAGGAAGCAAATATCACAAAACAAAAATAACCGGTGAGGGAGCATGTTACAAACGTGTGTCAGGCACTGGTCGTACGCTGCAGGACACACGGATGGGTCAGCAGGTCCAGGCTCCGAGGGAATCACGGTGTGGTGCCGCACTGTTCGTACTGGCAGTCTCGAAGATTTCAAGGCCCGGCTGACCACTCAGGCTGAGCCTCTCACTCAGATTGCAGCTTCAGAGTAGAACGCAGGTTCTCTGACCACACGCAGCCCCCTGCGTCTCCCATAATAAACATGCAATAGATGTTTAGGAGCACAGAAAATGGTACGCTCTGAATCCTCTCCTCCGGAGAGTTCTACAAGCCATACCCCAGTGCTGGGGAACAATAAGCCAGAATCAAAGATACGTAAGGTGAATGCACGGAACATCTTTAATTTACCGACGCTTGGCATGTGCACACGGCATCGGTGCCTGCCAAGCACAGGCTAGATGCAGCAGACGCTGGGACAGTGACAGGGGTGATGGCTGAGGGCTGTGGCCGCTCACGTGTCTCTTCCAAATTCCCCCTGCAGGGACATCACGGTGGCAGCCTGAAATAGCCACCAGGGCGTGTTTACAGCATAGGAAGCAGCCGACATGGCAAGCGTGCAGATTGGGGCGTCCCCTGCCCGGGAGCCAGCAGTTAAATACCAACTATGGCGCCACTGCAGATCTGCGCTTGCGGCGAGGGATTCCACGAGCTAAGAGTGCCGGCAGTGAGCCGAGGCTACAGTGATGCCTCTTGCCCACCTTTGGAAATAGCTCCTCTTTCCTTTGTTTAGTGACTATTTGCTGCTCTGAACTCAATGAGGCTCTGCCTCTGTTCTCTCATAGAACGGGTTCTGGTGGGAGGGCCGGCAGACACCAGTCATGACAAAGGGGTGAAAACGGCCCAGACACAGATGCGAGATGCAGAAAACAGGGGCTGGGAAGCTTGGGGGGGGCTTCCCCGGGGAGGCAGCAGCTCCAGCCGGCATGAGAATCTCAGACCGGCTGGAAGACACTCTAGTGGAGTAGAGGGAACGCAGATAACCAGATGTGGGCAGGCGGGACGTCGGGGTGGAGTCCGGCAGAGCCAAAACAGGGAGCGCAGGATCATTGCTCAGAGGCTTAGCATTCGTCTTGTGAGAAACCACGGACAGGTGAGTCCCAGGACCCCTCGTGGAGGATGGGTCCACAGGAGGGAAGACGAAGCCCCTTGTAGGACTGCCAGCAGGCCAGGCAGGTGGAAGAAGAGACTCAGGCCAGAAGGATGTTCAGAAAGCAAAATCAGCAAGACTCGAAGGGATCCAAGAACCCTGCACTCAGTTTTGGCTTGAGGGGACGGACATGCCATCTTGGTAATAAGGGAAGAATGATGAGTTCCACTTGGATGTCCTGAGTCTGAGCAACCCACGGGCACGCACGTGAAGGTATCTATGAGGGAGTGGGTACATGGAGCTCGAGCTCTGGGGAGAAGCCAGCAGATTTCAGGACCATCAGCACACAGATGTTCAGGCGAGTGACTGCCTGCCAGGGAGGCAGCACAGATTGAGGAAAGCAACCGAATTAAGCCATCCCCCCATCTGTGTGCAGAAGAGAAGGCCATCTCGAAGGCACTGATCGGCTCAGGCCACCATAACCAAGCACCACAGATGGGGCCCAAATACGGGACATCTGTCTTTTCACGGTCTTTGGGGGCAAGAGTCTGAGATCAAGGTGCATCCTCACACAGCTGTCCCTCTGTGCTTGTCTGTGCCCTAATCTCTTCTTAGAAGGACACCAGTCACGCTGATCAGGGCCCACCCAACAACCCCGCTGTCACTTAATTACCTCTCTGAGGGACCCACTCCCAGATACGGTCACGTTCTGAGGCAATGGGGCTTCGGACCGCAAGACGTGAATTCTGAGGGGCCCTAATCAGCCCCTAACAAAGGGGGACACTGGGGAGGAGTGTCAGGATGGTAGGATTTTAGCATATAAGCTGCCAAAGCAAACACAGGTTTGTAGGAGAGTCGGGGAAAGCTGAGTGTCAGGGAAGCCCCAGGTGGAGTGGAGAGGGAGGGAGGGCTGACGCAGGCATCAGTGGGACGGACACATGGATTCACAGCACCCCTCTCCGGGAGACTCGCATCCCACCGTGCTGGTTCTGGGTGGCCCCCAACGGGCTGCACCCTCTAGATGGGCCTCTCCTCGATTCCCTCTATTCCTCTCCAGGCTCCAGAGGGCCCTGGGGCACCCACGTTCCACCTCCGCACCGCGGGTGCTCGGGGGACCCACATAGCAAGGTACCTGCAGAACGGGCCGTGAGTTCCACGGGGCGGAGGGCCGGCCACGGCCAGGCAAAGGAGCGCATTTCCAAGAGTGCCGGACAGTGGGGCTGCCTGAGCGGAAGCAGGAAGGGCAGCGAGCCTGGGAGTGGGGTTCAGGGCACACAGAGGAGACACACTGGCCGCAGGGGAGTTAACCCGGGGGGGAAGAGGGGGACCCAGGTAACCCCGGCCTTTTGTCCGAGTGACATGGAGGCTGGAGAGGCCCATCCTGCAATGAGGGAGGGGGACGTGGAGGAGGCAGGGGTCTCAAGGGAAAATCTTAAGTTCCGCTCGTACATGGTCGGACACCCACACGGGGAGCCGAGGGGGCCACGCGGTCACGGGAGGGGCCGGGAGCACATGAGGAGGGCTCCCCCACCGCCGGGGTCACAAGGGCTGGTCCCACCTCCCTATAAACAGAATAAGAAGTCATTTTTAACCCGTACATTACAGTCCACTCCAGTGTTCTCACTTCACCAGTGCAAAATCTGTGGCCAAAAAGCGATGCCAACGGTCTTGTTTAAGACGG